TTTTGTGGTACAACAACTGCCCATGTTCAATCTTCTTAAACCCGAGGAGTTAGATTGGCTTGTTCGCCATTCGTAACTTGAAGGTAGAAAAGGATTGAACACTTAAGTGCCCAAAAATTTGCACTCATATGTGCATGAAGTAAAAATTGTCGGTTGATTACATCGGTAATGGGCTTAGAGATTCCATTTGGAAGGATGATGGAGAGTCGTTAGAGATGGGCTTAAAGATGCCATAGAAATATCAGAACGAGTCTATGTTTGAATGTATCTGAAGAATACTTTCTAGAGTAAACTTCTGGGAAATATGTTTGAGTAGCTGCTTGTCATGTAGATAGTCACCCCGCCTTGTTTCAGGAATTGATTTTACAATTAGTTTGTTGGTAAACCCGTCCTATTTTGGGAGTTCGTACCATTGGTGATAAAGATAGTCGCTCTGTCATGTTTCAGGAATTGATCTTTGTCAAACCAGAAAGAAAGGAAAATAGTTTCACCGTCCTGTTTCGGGAGTTAATATTCAATATGTTCTGTTGGTAAACTTGTCTTGTTTTGGAAGTTCATACCATTGGTGATAAAGATAGTCGCCCCGTCCTGCTTCAGGAATTGGTCGTTATCTGACCAAAGAGAAAGAAAGAAAGATAGTTTCTCCGTCCTGTTTCGGGAGTTAATCTTCAATCAGTTCATGTAGATAGCCGCCCCGTCCTGTTTCGAGAATTAATCTATAATCAATTTTGTTCCTCACAAATAGTTGCCCTGTCTTGTTTCAGGAATTAATTTGTGATCAGTTTATGTAGATAGTCATCCTATCCTGTTTCGGTAATTGATCTACAATCAGTTTTGTTCTTCACAAATAGTTGACCTATATTGTTTTAGGAATTAATCTGTGATCAGTTCATGTAGATAGTCGCGTCATCCTGTTTCGAGAATTGATCTACAATATGTTTTGTTCTTCACAAATAGTTGTCCTGTCTTGTTTCAGGAATTAATTTGTGACTAGTTATCCATATATTTTCCCTGTCTTGTTTCAGGAGTTAATCTGGAACCTTCTTTTTGTTGGTCGTTAAGATAGTTGCCCTATTTTGTTTCAGGAATTAATCTCTGACCTGGTCTCATAGATAGTTGCCCCGTCTTGTTTCAGGAATTAATCATGGACATGTTGTTCACAGATAGTTTCCCTGTTTTATTTCAGGAATGAATCTAAAATTGTTGAAAATTGTTGATGATATTTATCTATTGTTTGATCTTTAGCCATTACAATTCTGCAGAATATTATGCATAACAATAGGTCTTCAATCAAATCTTCCTAATTTATCTCCATAATTAGAAAGTGAATATTCTTCCATATTCTTCTGAATTATTCTTGACCTATAAAACAACGCCACATAGGATAATATAATATCCTTAAAGTATATTCCGTTTTTATGACTTAACAGAATATAACAGTCAGTTCAGCTCAGGCGCGATGTTGTATGCTCCTTTATAGGACAATTGATCCGACATGTTGCTCCAGATGATGAGAACTTCTCATCTCAACATGTCTCAACATAAGATAAGACTTCTTGCTCAACCTGTTCCTGTTAGCAAGTTAATACATCTTATCTAACATATTACTGCTATATTAGTTTTACCAAACATAATGTCAATCACATAACTCAGAGAATTAACACACTTAGTTTTATCAATTGTTTCAATGGAAATTGGTTGGCTTTGCTGTTATTGTAAAATAATTACTTGAGAATTTATTGTATTAAGATCTTATCATCATCATTTATTAATATTGAGTTACGCATATCCGAGCCTCCAATAACTGGTTCAGTTTGGACAACTTGTGATCCAGGATACGACTTTCGCTTGCCATAGTTTCTACTTGATTTTTAAAAACTTATTTTAAGTGAAAATCTTGTTTGAGAATTTATTCACCCTTTTAGATAAGTTGTCATCGTCTAACAGGGTGCGATATATTCTCGATGACTTTTGTATTTATTTGTTTCTGATATAAAACAAAAAATGGGTTAGATAAATAAAATAAATATTCAGTTATATGATTACTGAAGAACACAAACCTTAAACCCAAAAAACTTTATACTCTTGCAGTCCATCATAGATAACTTTAGCGAGCTTTTTTACGCTTTAAAGTTTTCATGTCAAATGTTTTATTATCAATTTTTGATATTCAAAATGATTTTATAATTAATGTCTTTTAGATTTCACACAGATCATTAATGACAGTGTCTAGAGAATTGATACTCATTAAATGGATGACAAATATTTATTTAAGAATGATGAATATCCTCAATAAACACGCTTAAATATCCCCTCAGTTATGTCAAAACCCGAGGTAAAAAGTATTTCTTTCCACACACCCTTCGTTTTTAAAAATTATATTGTTTACACATGATATTAAAATACATTGTTTACAATAAATATAGGTTTTGACAAATCTTTGCTTTTATTCCTGAAGAACAACAAATCTTTATTGTTATCCAGACTTAGTTGCATACCCTTTGTTCCCACAAACAATCCATAACTTATCCAACTTTTGATAAGTTATATGTTCCAAACATGAGTATTTTTTTCCTGCATTTGCAATCCATCCCAGAAATGTGTTACCCAAGTTCTTGAGCGTTTCCAAAGCAAATATTTTCACGACAAATACTTTCACAAAAAAGAGAACAAGATATATAGTGTTGGCATTATCCTGAGCAGATTTTGTTGTAATCCAAAACAACAATATCAACATCATTATGCGGGATAGATTGTAAGAGAAGAAAAATTGTTTTGTTCAAGATAGAAAGAAGAACATTGTAAATTTTTATGTCTTGCAATCCATCCAAAAGAATGATGTGTACAATTTTGGAGCGGTACATATAAGTTAGGTTTATGGTAAAAATTTATTAACGAGTAATTTTATAGTAAAATCTGATTATATATTCCCTAGGTTATTAGAGAAGTTAAGGGATTAGATGATTTGATTTACAAATAAAAAACAAACAACATTTGCTAGGTTTCGAAGCATGTCCTGGATTTTTTTACCCTCGATTTTATTCATAAATCGAGGGATAAGATGATTTGTAAAATAAAGGCGTCTTTTTGGTTCTAAATAAAACTTAAAATTGCAGGAGTTGAGAATCAAAGCTTAAACCTTGAGCAATATTTTATGTCGATTTTGTGTAAAACCGAGGCATATAATTTCTTTTAAAAAAATGAAATATGACGCGTTCCAGGTCATTCGACCTCAAATTTTCAACGACTGAAGTGAAAGATTTGTCATGAAATATATTATTTATAATAGTGTTAGCTCACCTTTGTTACCTTAGAATGAGATCTTTTGACCTTGCTAGATATTTCCTATAGCCCAATCTACTATTGGTGAGTGATCACCATCTTATTGATGTAATCTCTTATTAGTTGGACCTGTCTTACTAAGTCCTTATACCAAAAATAGACCTAACGATATAAAGACTCCAAGCATGAGGTACGTAGGGGGCAAAATGCTTTAGTCGAAATTCCATGATATTATACAGTCCTCCAAGCATGAGACACATAAAGGCATAGTGCTTTGGTCGAAATTCTATGACATTACAAGTGATTATATAGACCTTAGCTTGTAGGTTAGTGATGTTGTTGAATGATTAGTTAAGTGACTAAATTAAGTTTATTCGATGATTATAATTGATTAAGTGGGATGATATATGAAAATTAACTTATAGAATAGTAGAGGTCGATTTATGAAATTTCAAAAAATAAAATCGATTTATGGAGTCTAAACTCTAGAATTTATATAAGTAGTTGATTTTTAAGTGACTAAAAGCTAAACAATATTAGTAACTGTTATGGTTGCCATAAAGCGCTTTATAAAAACATGGAAGCAATCATCGTTCAAGTAAAGACAAAGGTAAGATAGACCAAGTCTTCTAGAAAATATCCTCTAAACGTACGGGTCACGAACTTCGATACACATATAAAGGAAGCCACATCCGAGGACGAATACTTTCAAAACTTTATCGAACTGTAGTTTGAGTTTAATTCATTGGTTGTGCATAATTTTTTTTTTTTAATTCTAAAAAATTATAAACAATTCAATACAATTGCAGACATTTGAGACACTTAAATGAAATGAAACACATCATATAATGTCTAGTAAAATTAATCCATATGTCATATCCCTCCAATATAATAGCAAATTTCTTAAAACACACAAGTTCCATAAAATGAAAAGAGGTTTCGGAATTAGGACAAATAACAGGGGTAGTATTGAAAATTTTCCATTCATTTATATAAAACAAAGAAAATAGGGTTTAGGGTTTTTGTTATCGCACCATTTGACATTTGACTTGTGCAGCAACTTAACACCGCAATCAATTTTCTGTTTCAATTTTAAGGTATATACTCTCTTTCATTTTCTCACTTGTCATTCTTTTTCTCTTGTTCTTTGTTAGGGTTTTGTTTGCAATCTGTAGTATTGATTCTTCTTGTTCATTGTCATTATTCATGGTTTTGAATCCGGCAGTTCTGAGCTTTTGCAATTGGAGTTAGCGAAATTGGATATATTTGAAAAGTTGAAATTTAAGCTGTTTTGTTTTTCCCCAATATACTCTGGTGAGTTTAGGGTTTAGGGTGAATAGCGAACTTGCTTTATATCGATTTATGATAGTATTTGTTCTTCTCTGTTTAATTTTGTGATTTATGATAGTATTTGTTCTTCTCTTTTTTTGTTTTGATTTGTATTTTGCATGTGTTTTCAATCAACTTTTGCTTCTTTCATCAAATTCTTCTGTTTCTTGTTGCTTTTGCATTCTTTAACTTGTCATTTTTTCCTAGGCTGATCAAGCCACTTGAGGATTTCGTTGCATACTTTTGGTGTTTGAAGAGCTAATCTGTCTAGCAGAGTTATCTCTAGCATATATTTATTCAACGGAATCCATCTTTCTTTTGATATCAACTCAACGCCTTTTGTTACTTCAACCTCTGAAACTTTCTCTTCATTCCTTCAATCTGCAACAATGGGAAAATCTAATTCCAACAAGCCTCCACAAGACGTACAAGACATCGACCTCCTCAAATCCGAAATAGCTTCTTTTGCCTCTTCTATCGGTTTAGCCTCTTCCGTATCCAATTCAGGTTTCAACGATGTCGATTTTCGCAAAACCAAATCAAACAAACCACCTAAGAAACAAAAACAACAAGAGAAAACACTTGATAAATCTGCACCTCAAAATAACCAGAAGCCGATAAACAAAACGTTTAGCAAAAAGAATGAACCCAATGAGAAATCCAAATTGAAACCCGAACCGAAACCGAAACCCGAACTAAAACCGAAACCTCCTGTTCTGTCATTGAATGATGCTAGTAAGGAAAAAGGGTTTAACAAGTTCAAGAATCTTCCAAAGCTTCCTTTGATTAAAGCGAGTGCATTAGGTGTGTGGTTTGAGGATGCGGCTGAGCTTGAAGGTAAGGTGATTGGGGAAGGGAAGAAGGTGGAGATGAAGAATTTGGAAGAGTGGAAAGGGTTTGCGGAGAAAAAGAGGGAGATGGGTGAGAGGTTGATGGTGCAATTAGCTCAGGATTATGAATCAACTAGAGGACGTAGTAGTGATATTAAGATGTTGATTTCTACTCAGAGGTCTGGTACTGCTGCTGATAAAGTCTCTGCTTTTTCTGTCTTGATTGGGGATAATCCAGTTGCAAACTTGAGGTCTCTTGATGCTCTTTTGGGTAAATTCAATTCTCATATTAATTGGTTTTTATTGTTATTAGCTTGTTATGTTTAGTTTGAGGTTTCATGCATGTATGTATTTGCATTGGTTTTTTTCTTGAAGTTGTTAATAGCTATGTAGCACCAACACCTCTAAAAAAGGCGTGTCCGCATCCATGTCGGTGTCCGAAACCGACACTCGTGCTTATGTTTAATTTATTCATTTATTCAAATTATTATCGGTGTCGACGTGTCAGTGTTAGAGTGTCAGCGTCGTGTTTTTGTTATCTGTGCTTCTTAGGTTAATAGAAATGTAAACTCTCTTATATATTTAAGGATAAGCATATCAAGAAATGTGCCGAGAGAAGTTGTTGTATTTGCATTGGTTTACTTTTTTGAACTTGTGAATAGAAATGTAAATGTAAACTCTAAATATGTATTGAGATTGTGGATATTTCAAGTTTTGATTAGTTGTTTTTTCCTGTGAATGTGTTAACTCAATTATTTTATGTTTGGTTGCCCGAGGTTCTTTTAGTTGCTAATCAAAGATAGACTTACTTACACTATGCATTGGGCGTGATTCTGAATAGTTTTTATTTTGTCAGTGAGATATATTATTTTCAAATGTCGTGGTTTTTCTTCTCTAATTTTTCTGTTATGTTGAGATTGCCCGTGTATTTATACTTTGGTTTTACATTAGGGGATGTATTATAATTTCCAGTTCCCTTATGCTCTGGACTTGAGCCTTTCAGCCTTTGATAGATTTTGTTATTTTCCCTAGGAATGGTGACATCCAAGGTTGGAAAGCGCCATGCCTTGTCAGGTTTTGAAGCACTTCAAGAATTATTTATTGCAAGGTCTGCATTTCTCCTCTCTCTTTCTCTCATGTCTTCCCTATTATGAAAAAACCGAGTAAATAGACAAATTATTCCTCAAATTAAGCATTAGTCAACATAGTCGGTGGAACTATATATATGTATGCACTTTTATGGATTTCATGCTTTTAAGTTATCTTTCTTACTTGAACTGTACAGCAAACATGTATAACTTTCCCTGCATTGAATCACCTACATCATCAATGCACTAACCTTCTACATTTTTTCCGGTCTTGTTTATAGCTTATTGCCAGATCGTAAATTGAAGACCCTGATACAACGACCACTAAATCACCTTCCTGAAACTAAAGATGGCTACTCCCTTCTACTTTTCTGGTATTGGGAGGAATGTTTGAAGCAGAGGTATGTGTGACAAAAACTTTGTTCACGATCACAATCATATATCAAATTCTGACATTTAATTGATTAAGGGTTTCTTAAGCCCATTCTAAATGCTAGTACATCTTTAATTTCCGTAACTTTGGATGATTCATATAAATGTAATTCTTTAACCTCAATTACACCACCTCCTATAAGTTCCACCATTACAAGAATAATTGGTTTTAATTAGAACTTGCAATGATTTAACCTCCTGCTACAACTAAAATATGGGAGAAACAGCTGGTTAATTCTTGTTGCCGATAAGTCCAAAACTTCCTTATGCTATAGTTCATCTGCATTTATCAATATTATGCTCAACTCAAGTAATCATAACATTGCCAGTTTTCAAAAACAAGGTTAATTTTTCCTGTCCATCCAAGCCTTTTTTTAGTGATTGATGATTTACTATCTTCTGCTGCCTCAGATACGAACGGTTTGTTGTTGCACTTGAAGAAGCATCTCGAGACATGCTACCTGCTCTGAAAAACAAGTCATTAAAGGTTAGTTTTTTTCTCACACTTTTATTAAAGTAGTAACTCAATATAATGTACGAGATTTAATATAACTTCAAGTTTTTGTACATTATCAACCTTTGACTAACAGGTAGAATTATATTGTTTCCTCCCTCTTGAATTTTATGCTTTTTACTTTTGTAACTTCGGTCGGGTGTCAAGAAATGTTTTAAGATTAGTGTAACATGTTATCAGATATATTTAGCAAATTTATGATTAAACTAATAATTATCGGTTGTCGTCATTTTTTGCTTGCAGACCATATATGTGCTACTGAGTAGGAAATCAGAGCAAGAGCGCAGACTACTTTCTGCACTTGTTAATAAGGTGAGTCAACACTAAGCCATATATTTGATCTTTCATTTGGCGGTGTTATAGAAGGCGGTTAGTGAACTTGCCAAAACTTCAACATTACCAACTAAAAACCTATTTCTTTCTCTTCAGCTTGGGGATCCAGACAACAAGGCAGCATCTAATGCAGACTATCACTTGACCAACCTTTTGTCTCAGCACCCAAATATGAAGGTATGTATGAATGTGTTGTTTGGTTTGTTTTCTTTTGCTTTCCTTCTCTTTTAGAATGTTTTGATTATTTTCCCGTGTTTAATGCTATTTGGTGATGATATACATACTCGACTAAACCTTCAGTTTCCTATTTCCCACATGTTTTGTTTTAGACTCAGACGTCATCCCTTTTAATTTATACACGTTCATTTTTTTCTTCTCATGCAGGCTGTGGTTGTTAATGAGGTGGATACTTTTCTCTTTCGGCCTAAATTAGGACCACGTTCACAGTACCACGCCGTAAGTCCTACTGTTTCTTTCTTACCGTGTTTTTTTATGTCACTTAATGCTAAGTTGGTTGCACCATGTCTGTTAGATTTATTTTTAGTGAGTGAAGAAATCTTAGTTTCAGAAGTGGCCCTTTAAATGTTAGGACTTTTGGACTAAAACCTAGATCTATTCTAATCCTGATCCACTTAGTGGTCTGAATTGACTGGAGAATTTCATTCCCTTTTCTGTATTTGAAGGTTAATTTCTTGAGCCAAATTCGCCTCACCAATAAAGGAGATGGGCCAAAAGTGGCGAAACGTCTGATTGACGTATATTTTGGACTGTTTAAGGTATATCAGTTTTCCCTATATCCTTTCTCCTCTAACTAAAATATCATGATACTACTTGGATTCTCAAAATACATTAGAAAAAATGATAAGCATTAACACTTAGAAATCTTCAGGTTTTGATCACTGGCCAAAGCAGCAATGAGAAAGTCGATAAAAGCGGTAAGGAAAATCCAAAAGAGAAAAAATCAGAAGCGACTTCAGAATCACAAGTGGAAATGGATTCCAGGCTCCTATCAGCTCTCTTAACCGTAAGTATACAATAGTAATATTATAAATTTTCATGAACAGATATTAACTAATTATTGTGAAATTTTGAACATGTTAATTGTCAAAGTCAAATATAGTCTTTTTTCTGGATTTTCCACAACCTTTGTCTTAAATTACACAATCTTTGATAATTTCACAGGGAGTGAATAGAGCATTTCCTTTTGTCTCGAGTAATGAAGCTGATGACGTCGTTGATGTTCAAACACCAGTACTTTTTCAATTGGTAATTACTAAATTGATAACGTAACTGATGCGGTATTTGATTTTGATTATTAGACATCTTGACAACAATTGTAACCTTGCAGGTTCATTCAAAAAATTTCAATGTAGGAGTTCAAGCACTGATGCTTCTTGATAAAATTTCATCCAAGAATCAGATAGCCAGTGATCGATTTTACCGTGCTTTATACTCCAAACTCCTGCTTCCAGCTGTCATGAATACATCCAAGGCAAGAAAATACTTTACATTTCTACCTTTGGGCCAGAAATGTTTGCTCTTTTACTATTCTTCACCATGTATATTTTTTTTTAACTAGTTTGTTCTCAGGCAGAAATGTTTATTGCACTTATTCTAAGAGCCATGAAAAGGGATGTTAACATAAAGCGCGTAGCTGCATTTTCTAAACGTTTACTGCAGGTGATTATTAAACATTTTCCCTATGTTCTGTTTTTTTATACAATAAATATAGGATAATACAATGTTTTTTATTCATTCAGGTTGCACTTCAGCAGCCACCACAATATGCCTGTGCATGCCTTTTCCTTCTTTCTGAACTCTTTAAAGCAAGGCCACCTTTATGGTAAGTAAAGCTGTTTTTTTTTGTACCGTGTCATCGCCGTTATTACTATATTTGTTTTTAGTAATTGGTGTGAAAAATGTGTACATTTTAATTCATTTGCTGATAAGTTTATTAAAGTGTTTACCATCTATTCGTTTGACCAGAAAAAATAATAATGCACTCATAATCTTGACTTGTCATATATAGGAACACGGCGTTGCAAAATGAGTCTTTTGATGATGATGAGCTTGAACACTTTGAAGATGTTATAGAAGAGACTGATAAAGAACCTGTAACTGTATCAGATAAGAAAAGTGATGAACCTGTAACTGTATCTGATAAAAAAAGTGATGATATTGTACCTGATCAGAATGGCGAGGTTGCCCATTCTGACACAGATTCTTCTGGAAGTGATGATGATGATCAACCAGCATCTTCTGAAGATGATGATGATTTTGATGATGCTTTAGAGGATGAAGGTTTTTCTCTTGCAAAGAGTAAAAAGAACCATAACAATTCAAAGTCTGAATCTGATAATGAAGATCAGAAAGTGCAGGAATCTACCAAGAAGCCTTTATTGCCTGGAGGCTATGATCCACGACACCGAGAGCCGTCTTATTGGTAATATACTTTGATTTATTTTCGTATTAGTTCTCATTTGAAATATCATAAAACAAATATATTTCTGCAAGTGTTTGTTCAATGCATTAGGGGCTTATATAAACTGCAGAAAACACTTGTGCTATACATTTTTAAGCTTATTTTCGTAAACTCAATAACTTTTACAGAAACAATTTATATAGAGAATTTGTGTGAAGTTTACTGTTATTCTCTAATTCAATTAGTTAAATTGTTTATAGAACCTCTCTTGTATTCATTTTCTTGTGGCACCTTCAAATTACATTTCTATATCATAAATGACATGATTTATCCATCCAAACAGCAATGCAGACCGTGTAAGCTGGTGGGAGTTATTGGTTCTTGCTTCACATGCACATCCTTCAGTTGCAACCATGGCAAGAACTCTTCTTTCCGGCGCAAACATTGTCTATAACGGAAACCCGTTAAATGACCTGTCATTAACAGCTTTCCTAGACAAATTCATGGAGAAAAAACCAAAACAAAACACTTGGCATGGTGGTTCTCAGATTGAACCTGTCAAGCAGGTAAACAAAACTGTTCCATTTTCGCCATTGAACCATTACCACTGTTTCTTTTTCAGCAACATGATTTGTGAGATTAATGCAATGTGAAGAAAATATTTCTGCTATGCAACTAAGCTGTAGTACCATATGGTGCTATAGCGTCATTGCGCTGCTATAGCCACTATTGAATAACATTGGTTATGTAGCCTTCTGATTCAATTGTTTTAACATTTCTTTCTTTCCATTTTGCAGTTGGATGTTAACAACCTCCTGATTGGACCGGAAATTCTCTCGCTAGCTGAGGCAGATGTACCCCCAGAGGATCTTGTCTTCCATAAATTCTATACAAATAAAAAGAGTTCATCTTCAAAACCAAAGAAAAAGAAAAAGAAAACAGCCAACGAAGAGGATGCTGAAGATTATTTTGATGTTGGTGACGATGATGTTGATGGTGGTGATGAGAGTGATAATGAAGAGATTGAAGATCTCTTGGATTCTGCTGATCCATCTTTAGGACCAGATGGTGACTTTGATTATGATGATTTGGATAAAGTAGCCAATGAGGATGATGATGACTTAATTGGTGATGTTAGTGATGGAGAGATAGATATAGATATTCCCTCAGACATGGAAGAGGATGATGCTGATGATGGAAGTGATGATAACAATGATCTTCAAATAGGTGATATTGATGATGATGAAGGAAGTAATGATAACGATGATCTTAAAATAGGTGATATCGATGATGATGATGATGAAGAGAATGTTGTTGAAGATCAAGTTGACAAGAGAAAAAGGAAACATAAAGTTGGTGGTAAAAGTGGCGCCTCTCCATTTGCAAGTTATGAAGAGTTTGAGCATATAATGGAAGACGATCCCTCCGAGGATAAAAAGAAATCCAAGAAGAGAAAAAAGAAGGAAGATGATGATCCTACTGAGAAAAAACCTTCAAAGGATAAAATCAAATCCAAGAAAAGAAAAAAGAAGTCTGGTAAATGAAGAAGTATCTTCATGTAACTTGTATTATTTGAAGTTTTTTTTTGTTACAAATTTTGCATGTGGCTGTTATGGCCATGCACATTTTTGGTAGTCAAATTTATGTTTATTTTTCAGAATGTTCTTTCTACATGTATTTTATTGGTGATTGGTGACATGTATCAAATACACATTAGAATTTGGCTGTTCGTTTTGATCGCCATCAATTGTTAAACTGCTTCTTTCCACATTGCTTAAGTTTTATATATTTTCTCATGTTTCTCGAGATGATTGTTCTAGTATTTCTCTATTAAATCTGAAATTCCATTATAGGGAGACATAATAAGCACATGAGAACTAGAAACATTGATTGAACACTTCAATTTCCACCTAAACATCTACAAAGTCAAAAGCTAAAACACTTCTGTAGGCTAAAACACTTCTGTAGGCATCTGGGAGTACCATCTTTGTATAGTTGGGTTAGATGAGTGCCAGCTGATGAGTTCAACAAGTTGGTTTAGAATTCTTGGCAACAACATTTATTTGTATCTTTGCACTCTTTTGGAGTGGGGTGCACCACTGAAAACTCTAAAACACCTTTGAATTTATTTGAAAATACATCTCTGAATGCACAAAATACAATTTTATTAATCAAAATTTAGTTTGGAGATGTAACTCTGAATTTTTCTGAGGTTAATTCGGAGATGTATCTCCGGAGTCACATTTCTTTCTTAGTAGATCCAATAGCCACCCCATATCTTGAAAAAAATAGTTCGGAGATGCATCTGTGAATATTTCTAGAGTAAATTTAGAGATTCATCTCCGAAGTCTTACCTGCATATTTCTTGTGCAGAAACAATATAAGTTTGTAGTTTTATGAATCCATCCATAATAATTTAAATTTGATTAACATTGTCGTTATTTGTTTTAAAGATAAATAAACACGAAATCATAGAACATAATAATGTGTTAATAAAAAAAAGACAATCATAGTATAAAAGTTGTTCTCAAAGTATGGAAAAATATACAAAATATCCAAAAATACAATTAAATGCATAATCTACTGAGTTTGCCTAATTCTAACACTCCGAATCCTCCTCTACCTACGGTAACACAAGACATTCAGTACCTCGGTAAAAACAAATCGTGTTAGGGCAACGCTTCATCGCCACCTCTCTCGAACAACCCAAACTCTTTGCCTTCTCCTGTCATCCGCATAATGGTTTGAAAGATCGACAACACATCAACGACATGGTCATCCATGGTTTGCCCATTCTCCAAGATCTCCTTATGAGCATGCCTAGGTGGACGTCCAGGAGCGTCTAGTGTCATGACAGAGTGTGACACAAAATGAAATCAAGTCATGTAACCGTCCACATAAGACTATTGAGACGTGACTGACATACTTCGATACTTCTGTAGGAGTCTGTCATTTGTTTTGTCCTTCAAAGAGAACCTTCGCTCAACTTGGAGTACAAGTATATCAAGAATGTGACCCCCTAGTTCCACTCGTGAATGACCTCCAAGTCGATGAAACATTTGAGGTATGCCACATCCACGTAGGTTTCACTTTTGTCTACAAACATGGACATGTCAGCTAAGAATAAGAAGTAACACCTCAATGCGCACTCCCTGTGGTAGCCAACCTGTAGATCATCATATCCTTCGGGGTTTCGGCCAAGTCCAAGTTGTTTTGATACAACGTCTCAACCAATAAAATTTGGCATATGCACTCATGGTGTTCTCATAATGCTGTAGGAATTCCATTGGATCAACTCTTAAATAAATCACGATCATATCCACTACCTCACCGCGCCTGATCTCAAAATAATCAAATAACCTCTCTCTAATGAGAAGGCGTAGGAGGCATGCGACATCATCTAATGTAATCGCAATATCGCAAATGAGGAAGTGGAAAGATGACATTTTCTTATGCAATCTCTCAACAAATGCCGTTAAGAAATACACCTCTCTGTCTCAGATATGCAGAGCCACACGATCTCCAAAATATATCAGCAATGACGTGTCAATGGTCCTCTGATAAGTGAAAATTATAGCTATTTTTGTATATACTTTTTGTTGCACTTATCGACTTTTTATTGTAAATATCGTTGAATATACTCGACTTTTGTGTGAATACGTTTATTTTGTGTTTATTTGTGTTTTTGTGTACATAGTGTACCGTTTGATGTTTTTCCATTCATTTTGTAGGTATTTGTTTCATTTTGGAGCATTAAGGAATAAAGTATCGAAGGCACGGCTCCGGATGCATGTTTTCGGAATAAAAAAACCAATTTTGGGAAATTCTATCCAAGAGAACCCGCTTAGCGCGCATGAGGCAGCTAAGCGCGAGTGCGCTCAACGTATTTTGTAACGCGCTGCTTGCGTTTGGACATTTTGGCAGAATCAATGTTTTGAAGTCCGCTTAACGCGGATAGTGCGCTTAGCGCGGTTTAGGCCGATTTGATGTGTAAAATTAGGAAGTCATGCTTAGCGCGCCAGGCCCGCTTAGCGTGGTCTGCTGAGATTTGTTTTATAATTTCATTTCATTCATTTTTTAGGTGGCAGTTTTGGGGAAGTTTTTGCTCCCAACTCCATCAACCTTTAGTTTTGTTAGAATTAACTTAGATAACAACTATGTAGCTTGCATACAGATGATCCGGAGTGGATTGCTCTTCGATCGGCGCTGACAAACTGGTAGATTTGTGGTTCATTTCTCTTTTTATTTGTGTATTTTTTATTGGTTGGATTTGTATGTATATTTTCTTTGAACTGATGTATATTTGTCGCCCTTGGCGTTACATTAAACTTGTTTTATAAATCTTTGTGGATTGTTGTTTTGGATTTTTATTATGTATTAGGGATTTGAGTTGTTATAGACATATACTGCTTAGATTCTTATCTAGGATGATTATCTGTTAGTTTCTGAATTCTAGAGATAGGTTTAGAGCTGACATCTACTTGGGTATCCGAGCTTAATGCCTCTGTGTGGTTGTGCTGTGCTGAGAAATCATCAGTGCAATTGCATAGTTGTCTTCTGTGTTGTTGAGGAGGTAGATAGACCATTTCCTTGGTGATACAGTCAGTCTCTCAATTTGGGTTATAAATGACTTAGGTTGTGAGTGATACGTAGTGACATTGATGAATATTGTTAGGTTGAGTATAACAGGTCGATAGATTTAAGTCTGTGAGAAGTAGTATATATGCATGCTTGATAATTTATTCCTTTTTCCTTTTTATACATTTATTTTCTGTTAATACTTTTCCATACAACCTATTCAACCCCGAAACTCATTAACGATAGATTTGTCGAAAGATATTTCATTACACCAATCTCTATGGACACGATACGATATAACCTAAGTATCTCCCGATAAATTAATAACTTGTTTTTTACTTGCCACTATACCGCAACAACAAAATAGCGTCGTTGCGGGAGATTGGTGTTTATTGTTTTGTATTGCGATAATTTCTTTGTTTTTGAGTTTTGTAATTAATGTATATGTTGTATAGAATATGTACATAAACTTGTCTATTTTTACTTGTACATGTTTTGTGTTTACTTTCCAAACTTGTGCATATATATGTGTTTTTCTTTGTTTTCACGTATTGTTGTAAATTCTCTCGTTTTCACAACATTTGTTGTGTGGATGTTAAGACACTTTCTTTAGGTTTGCGCGGTGTGACAATACCACGACATAACGAGAAGAGGTTACTAGCTCACACAATAAAGATGTCGAGCTTACGACGTAAAACAAGAATGTTTTGTTTGTGTTAGTTTATGTATGTGTTGACCTGCGTTTTAACAAGTTGATATTGGACCTGTTTTAAATTCTCAAAATTTCACTTTTCAACTTGTTAATTCACTTTTACCCGTTAGTTTTGTTATATTAATTTGTGTTTTTCCGCAAGCTTGTCGTGTTTAGCTCGTGGAAGTGTGTTTGTATGTTGTAAATGTTGTACATGTGTAGCTGAGCTTGTATAGGTGAATGTGGAGGCTGCACTGCTGTTGCTGTTCTGGTTTTTCTACAACTGTTGTAGCGTGCTAAGCGTGGTTTAGGATGCTTAGCGCGCTCTCCCATGCTGCGCCAATGAAACTTTTTTTAGTGTTGGTTTTTCTACAACTGGTGTAGCGTGCTAAGCGTGGTTTAGGCCGCTTAGCGCGCTCTCCCGTGCTGCGCCAGTGAAACTTTTTTTAGTGTTCACTTGGACGTCCTTTTTTTCACTTTCACCAAGGCCTTATAGTAGTAAATAAAATTAGTATTATTTTTCTAATTCTTTTTTGTTTGTCTTTGAGCTTGTTGTGAATAGCTTGAAGTCTCTTTTGGTGATTTTTCAAATTTGAGTGTTTCAACTTGCGAATGTGTGGTAATAGTTTTGTTAAAGTTTTGTACACGTTCGAGGTATGTGTTTATCACTTTCTATACTTTAGCATATTCATGATACTTAGACTTTTTATAATTTTTATGCCATTCATTCTTTTGTATACTTGTTCATTAGTGAATCATTTTAGTTCCTATCCTTTTTGTAAGGTAGCTTTCAATTATTCACATATCCTGGAGACCACAATTCTTGTTTTAACTGAATTTTATTATGTTTAATCTTTTGTTTGTGTTGATTGTGTGAAAACTTGAAAATGATCAAGGCATTTTTGTTTCATTTTGAGCACAACTACCTTGGCTAAATAGTCAATTCACCTTGTAAGTGTGTGATCATTAGTAACCCCTTTGAGCTTTTTGACAATATCCATGTTGTATTTGCTAAATACTTGTCTATGAGTGTTTAGTTTCACTTTTTGCATGGATGTTGAATCATTGTTTTCTTGAATCCTCAACCATTGTTTTGGTTTGAATTTTTACCTGCCTTAGAAAGTAGGGAGTATTCACTTTAATATATGGTTGAATTCAAGTTGGAAATAAAAATGATTGTGTATTCATTGGTTGATTGCTATGAGTTTGAAAAGAAAAAGAAAAGAAAAAAATGAAAAGAAAAAGAAAGAAAAAATTGAAAAAAGCTTTGAAAAA